CTCTTCCAAAGCATTCAATATGTAGCCCTCTATCTTCCAAAGCTCTTGAAAGTTGCTCTCAAGGATATTTTATTTAAAGGTGCGAAATAGAGCGCCTAGAGTTTCTAAGGGGCTCTTTTTATGGAGCACCTTCATTTTGCTTAGAGCAAGGCCTGCTTAGTATGTATGATTGAGAAAGGGAGGGACCAAAATTGACACATTTAGAGGGTTGTATGACCTTAATTATTGTTCATTGATTTTTATTTTTTCAAGACCTACCTTAATTTATGCAAACGAGAACACTTGTGATGGAATGGGGAAAATTCTTGAGACTGTACACCAATATGTGCCATGTTATGAAGTTCAAGGAGAGAAGCATTTTAGCAGCCAGGCAATTGTGGGTGATCAATTGACAGTAGAGAGAGGAGTAAATGGTTTGATGGATGTCTCAAATGGATTCACATCTGAGGAGCGTAGAGAAGGTCTTCATTTTGAGATTGCTGACTTTCATGGTGGAATAAAGTTCTTAGAGGTGATTATTGGTAATTAGAGTTTTATGTTGAAACCATCAGAATGGATTAAAATAGGGTGAGACAAATACTTATGGTAAAGGGGAGTTCTTATTTTAGTATATCTAATCTCCCCGATAAGTTGAGCACCCTAGACAGCAATATGATAATTAAAATTATATATATATATTCCTATATTCCTATATATATATATATTCCTTAAGACCTTTCTTTTGATATATTTAGTTATTGAAATCTGCATTCTGTATTTTCAATCTTACAAAATGACCTTGAAATTCAGCCAGGCTCAAAATCATGCTACATAAACCTTAAAAGTCTCTTTCAGGTTTGGAAAGAGCTTCTCATATGATGTATAATTTAGTTCCTGAAATATCTATTTATTAAAATTTGTGTTGAATTTTTCTGCAGCTCATATATGAGGCATTCTATCATCCACAATCAGCAAGTGATAAATGCACATTATATTGTGACAGAAACCTAGTTGATAGAAGAAATGTGTCAACAGATGTTAAACATCGAGTAAACCAATCAAAGAAGTTTCTTAATTTGACAGTCAAGGCACGTGTGATTGCTGGAGCATTAAAACTGTTGGATCTAAGATCTGTTGATGATTTGCCCCTGCAGCATACGATGCAAGCCAATGAAAGGTCAACTACAGAAGAAAAAAGGAATAATCTTCACTCTTTGGCGTCAGAAATAGTTGACAAGTTTATTTTGAGAACTGAAAAGGTGGAACACATCTTGAATAAAGTTGAGGCTGAAAATGAACATGAGAAGCAAAAAGCACAGAAGCATTTCCAGTGTCGTTTTTCTGGATGTGGCAAAGTTTTTAAATATGATGGCAAGGCAAGAAGGGAGCATGAAGCTACTCATGGAATGACACATTCTGTGCAACCCTCCAAAAGTTCAGGGGCAGTAGATGAGAACAGAGATGATATGCTTAACTATCAGCTGGCTTTGTTGGAGGTTGGGATGCTGATCCAAAATTTCTTTGATGCCATTTCTGAAGGTGACAGGGAAAGAATTGTCAGATGCTGGAAGTTCTTTCTACCATATTTACGTTTTGATGGGCAAGGAAGCACCAAATATGCACTTGAGGCATTTTATTTGCTATGTCAGGTGAATGGACTTCTGACTACAAAGGCTGCACACGAGCTTAAATGGAACAGATTTTTTAAAAACAAAAATGGACCAGGTGGAAACATACCCTTGGACCTTGCACTTGAACATCACAACAAGCTGATAAAAACACTGATGCAAAACCTAGGCCCAAATGCAACCAATCAGCAATGTCTGAATAGATATATAAAGGCATTAAGGGTCAACAAAGATGTGCTTGACAGATTTGACCAGCAAATATTTTTCAAAAAGCGATCAGGAGAACATAAGCGCCGCTGTGAAAAAGCAGATTTGCACAAAGTTGTTAATGAGCTAGTTAAATATGATGCATTGACACATAAGAATGGCCGAAAATACAAGCACTTTTGTAATGTTAATGACAGTATCTTGGATGGATTTGACATGCATGCCATGTTCGCATGGATTAATGAGCACAAAAAGAAAGTTTTGCAAAAAAAGTGTCCAAGATAATTATATTATATATATAAAACAAGAGAACATGTTGCATAATTTGTATCTGTTTTGGTTTATTTAACAAATTTGTTTGCATTTAGGGTTGATCTTACTAATTGCAAGGTGTTATGGAGCTGTAGGGCAAGGGAGGCTCATCCTCATCAATATTTTTGCATATCTTAAAATTTTTCCCTATTTTCCATTAGCCAGCCACCACCTGTCAGAATAAAAAAGTATTGAAAAATAATGCAAATAACACAACCATCACCACACATGCAATGTGCCTGAATGCTTGTGATATTGCCAACTTTTGCTTAACAATAAAGACCCGGCCTACATGCAAACCCTCTGAAACAAAATAGTATCGAGGTACCTTTAACGTTTAATTCAAATTTTTTTGGAGGGGGGTGATGGCTTAAACCATATGTAGGCTTGGAGGAGTAGGTACTGCAAATTGATGTAAAATGGAACAGGGTGTCCAGAATTGGGGTATTTAGAGCATACATACTTTTTAGACAGCCCTTTAGTGCACCAGTTATGTTAATAAGTAATTAAAGCATTTTTAGTTGTTTTACATAACAAATAAAAAACATGTTTTACCAAGCAAATCACATCAAATGTTACATTTAGATCATTTTATTCGCTTCACAGCAAAGTTCAGTTCTCCATTTCAATGTCATCTTCTTCATGTATTTTCTCAATGGCTGATGACAAAAAGCCTGATATACTGCAGCTGCCATCATTGTCACTTGCTAACCCTACATTATCACTTTCATCTAAAGCAAGTAGACTGGATGTTGTGGTATTAAAAGTGTTTGCATGTTGCAAAATTCCCCAATCCTCATGAATTATTTCCATTTCCTCACCAGATGATTCTTCATCACTACAACTGATATCTTGTAGATTTATTTGAAAATCTTGAAAAGTCTCATACAAAAGGTGTAAGACCTGTACTGCATGATTTCGTCGCCAGATTTCTACATACAGAAATATGTCTTCAATAGAAAAGATGTGCATACACTCAGCTATTATCTGGTGCACTTGAAAATTGCAAAATTCAAATTTGACTCTTGTGGTTCCAACAGGTTTTACAGTTGCTAACTCAGCTTCTATTTCCGTCTTTAAATTGTAAAGTTTTTCGGTCAGTTCTTCTTTTTGTTCTTTTGTGACATTTCGTTTTCTTTTTGGTAATGGTAGTTCAGTTTCCATTTGTTTAGAGAACAAGGTAAACTTGCTGTCACCTTTAAGACATTGATCACTGCAGTTGCAATCCATCGCACAGTTATCGCAACACATACATTGTTTTGGCATCTCCAATGAAGAAAATGCATTGAAATGTTTTCCAATTTCTCTTCTTCTGCACATTTCATGCTGTAGGAGAATTTTCATTTTGATATTGCAAAGTGTATTTAGGATACCATTGTATAGCACATAAGATGTTGCTGAACTTTCATCCCTTCCAAGCCGGCCTGTCTCCTGCAATAATGCTTCCATTGACTTTGGAGGACCCAGATGAATACTTCTGTACAAACCTCTACAATTTATGCCCATCCCAAATGCAACTGTGCAAATGAGTACTCTCAAACAACTTTCTGATTTGGCCATCTGATTAATAACGTGTGATTTCACATTTTCTGGGGTTCCTGCATGAAAGATGTCCACTAATCGGTTACTTGGCAATAATTCACTACTGGCAAAAAAATTTTCCCCCAATGAAATTGAAAATGCTCTAAATAAAATAGAGCACTGTTTTTTTGTTTGGCAAAATATAATTGTCCTTTTCATATGGGTCTTACAGTGTAAAACCTCATCAATGATTGGCTGAAATATCTCATCTAAGCCTTTATTCTTATTGACATATTCAAATATGTACATTATATTGGGTCGAACTGGATTCTTCTCTACACAAAAAGTTTTTGCAGCATGCAATTGAAGCATTTCAAAAATCAACAACTTTGTTTCTTTCGTTGCAGTTGCTGTGAAAACTCCTACTGGTGTTTTCTCGAGTATAAGTGATTTTAATTCCACAAGCTTTCCATACCAATGTCGAAATGGTGCATTTGAATCTAATGAAGTTCCCCTGAAATAGAATAATATTGGTGTTCCATAAATTTAATCGGATTTTTAAAAATGTAACTGGCTTGATACTAGGAAAATTGTATATTTATATATTTTGAAATGATAAAAATGTTTTCATTTTTAGTTAATTTATTGGGTTTTGTATTTGCCAGATTTCGAAGCAACAAGTTTAAAAGAGCATCTCGTCTCGAGCCCACCATCATGATTCTATCCCTTAGGCCTATATATTGTGTGACGGAAAAATTCCCACTTACCAGTGAATAAGACAGTGTGCTTCATCAATAATCAAGCCAACACACTTTTTTCTAAATGCAGGCAATGGTTCTCCAACGTTTAATTGAAAGCAAAGTTTCAGGTGATGCGTAAATCAATGATATGCAATCTTCAGTAATATGTTCAAATAATTCATCGCTTTCCATCTCATTTGTGTCTGTCAATGCGATGGCCGTAATTCCTGTCTCTTTATTCAAAAAGGAAACTTGGTTGATCATCAGCGATTTTAACGGTGATATCACAATAACTGTGCTTGTTCCTGGGAGCTGATCCAATATGATGTCAGTCATTATCGGTAAAATCTGAAAAATAAATGATTTTCCAAAGCCTGTAGGAGCACTGAAAAATATATCATTTCCTCCAAGTAGTTTTCGCATTGCCACTTTCTGCTCCTGATGTAAATTTTCATACAAGTTTTCGATTGACATGTACCTTCTACATGCCAGTTCTAAAGCCTCCTCAAATTTCTTGTCAGTAAAGGAGGCAGACATTTTGAAAGATTGTCGGTCAGCAGCGATGCCTTGAGTACTTGAGTCATAAATTAAAACTTGTTATTATTTCCATGGTTTCAATGCATAAATTACTTCCGCAGACTCATGGAAGTAATTTATGCAAGAACAAGCTTCGGGTCAATTGTTCGCAGACCCTATTCTCTTTGGAGGATTGGGTCTGCGGCGCAGGCTAGTACATTTTGGGTCTCTTCAGGTTCTGATTCATCTTCACTAGCAGGATCAAGACATTCCTCATCAATTTGAAATAGAAGATCTTCTCGTTCAATGTCATCCTCGTTGTCATTATCAAAATCATCATCATTACATCAAGCAATTAATTTTGTTGTTTGGCAGCAAGCTTAAGAAGTGAAGGGTTAAAGGTAAAGTTGGTTTGGAAGTTACACTTCAACTTCAAATCATACATAAAGAAACAAGCACAAATATATCTTACAAGTATACAATGTTTATTTTCTACCTGGTTTTGTGACCTGGGTTGATGTAGCAACTGGGGTAGCATGTTGCAAAGCTTCAAATGAAATAACTACTGTTTTTCACTACAATTGGGAGAATATATAGGAGCGGAAATATAAGTTTATCAAAATAGAAGATTATCAAAACTATATTTTCAAAACAAAAGAAAAACCGAAGAAACTATTTTAACACATCTTCTTCATGTACAAACTTTAATCAGATTTAAAGATAACATAAAGTAAGAGAAAGGAAGATAAAATGCTAGAATCCAAAATTTGAAGGCAACCGAACAAATATTCAGAGCAAATAATGAAAACAGCTAAGCAAAGAAAATTATCAATTAAAAGGTTCTTCTGATGTCTACATTGGATATGCAAGTAATACACAAAAATCCCAATCAATATGCTGCAAACAATTTTGAAATTTGTGTACTTTGTTAGAGGAACAGTTTCTGGGATTGAGACCTCATTCATAAACTACATCAAGGCAATTGCTGTCTTAAAGGATAGATTTGCAAATAAGCAACTCATCATTAACTCCCATATAGAGAACACCATATAAAACAACTTTGAGCGTGCGAAGTTCATAAACATTAGCATCAACTTTAGCACAATATGATGGGCCACTTGTACCCATGATAAGTTTCCAGAAGACTTGCTGTCACAAAATATGTTGACAATGAATGGGGCCTAGATACACTCTTGGCAGCTTTAAAAACTGAACTTAATGCAAAAGAACAATGAAAAGTAAAATTTAATGTAAAAAAACCTGGTGTTCCAATCGAAAATGAACCCCATGTCCAACTGCCAATGACTGCAGCCTTGTGAAGTGATAATGGGAAAGTGACTTGTTAATCACCCATCCGCTAAATATAATAACATCATGGAGCCAACATTAAGGTAGTTGATTTTGCTAAGAAAAGGGCAAAGAAAACCACTCATCAAATAATTTTTCAAGCAGTCTTTTCAAGTAAGCAAAGGCATATTACAAGTATTTGTCATCAGGTCAATTGCAATATATGCAATACAGAAATGCTTTTTCAGATCAATAATGAACCTCTGAATACTCAAGTAATTTTGAAGAGAAATGTAATTTTTGCTGGAAAACATTGACCGCTATTCAAGTGGTTAGTAATTTGCCTTTATCTTCAGAAGAAAGGAATTCCATAAGCAATTCCCCTCATATCGTTTCAATGTTGGTTGATGACAAGAACTCTTTTCTTTTGCAAACAGGAATGGAGTATGTTTGTAGTTGGATGTGTTCATTTCCACTGTAGTTCTTCTCCATTTTCAGAGAAGTTTATCTCTGAAAATGAGAAAAAGGTTATTTGTGACCTAAATGTAATCTCCGTATTTGTAAACTAGATTTTAACAAAGGCTATCATCAATTGGAGCTTAACAAGAACCACAGAACAGTAAAACCTCTTTTGCTCATTGCAAATTAAACCAATTAACTGGTTTGATCATTAGTGTCAACTCTGCTGCTGAAGTATTCCATTATGAAATTCAGAACATGCTCTGCATAGGAGGCTCCCAAAATTTAAGCAATGATATTATTTTATACAGACAACACAGAAGGATCATGATGAAACACTATCCAAAGTCTTGAAACAACTAAGCAAAAAGCAACTCACTTAAAGGGCCCCATGCAACGCCAATGCTCTGTGACCGCAAATATGTTTCCTCATGATTGATAATTTCAGACTATCAAAAATTAACATGGCTACCCTGCCGCAGGAAGTTTTCGTGAAGCTTTTCCTTCCCTCCTCAAGCAATATGTATGTTGGGGAACCTAGCACTGCGCGGCATCATATTCCCACGAACGCATGACAATATGTGTTATTCTTGTTGTTTTTCTGTAACACTATTGACTAATTTGTTAAGCTTGTCACTTCCTTATAGCTGCAGATCTAAAAACTCTCTTGTTTGTAAGTTGTTCTCTCGTTGTAAATTTGTAAATACACTGTTCCTTTCTCAATTTAAAAGCTCACTTTCCACGTGATTCACGATCTCCAAGTCCTCCTCCGTCACAGCTACGTTCGCAGTGGTACACAAACACACAACTCTACACAAACTTTCCCACAGTCAACCCATATATATGTTATGGCTATGCCTACTTATTCCCCCTGTAGACATTGATTTTTGCCAAAAGAAAATTTTTTGTAATTCTCTTGTATCCGGTTTGATTCACAGTTAGACACCCAAAGCAAAGAATAGAAACAGTCAATAAAGTTAATGACAAGAAAGCTCCAAGTTTTTAGCTTTGATGCAACAACAACCTCTGGATCATGTTGCACAGATCTTGATGATGTTCTTGACCTGGATAAGACAGACCAGTTGTTTGAAAATATTGACAAGGAATCTCCGGATGATGTGATGATGGAAACTGTAAATGATAGTAAATTAGAA